TATTAGTCAAATTAATAAACTTTTCCCGTTTTATTTTTGACGATCCTTTGCAAATTGCAGTATTATTGATCAGCTGTCCTACCTTGTTTATATAAAACAAACCGCATGTCCCTACGATGACCCTACGCTGAGATAATGAGCGGTGAAAATCTGGTATTTTCACCGAACACCGACCAGATGAGACGGGATACTAGAGAAGCGTTGCCGAAAGAAGGTGTTGACCCGAAGTGCTGAGCGCAGATCTTGCGCGCAGTTCCGCGGCAAGGCGCACGCGACCGCGGGAACGTCCTACGACAGTATGCAGCGCTGGCAGCTATGGATGCGTGGGCCGGCGTAAGCATTCGGCGCACGGATCCATAGCTGCCAGCGCTGCATACTGTCGTAGGACGTTCCCGCGGTCGCGTGCGCCTTGCCGCGGAACTGCGCGCAAGATCTGCGCTCAGCACTTCGGGTCAACACCTTCTTTCGGCAACGCTTCTCTAGTATCCCGTCTCATCTGGATCTTGCTTTCTGTGCGTAGCCAAGTGTTCAGTTATTATCACCCTCGCGCTTGGGTAGTACCCAGTAAGTAGAACTTAATTACACCAAGTAATCTCGCAAAATCTTGCGAAAAAGTACGCTTTCCTCTGTGATGTCAATTGGAGCAATTTGGTGTTTATATCCGAAAATCATTAAGGGCGCTGTTTGGTACGCAAGAATGTTTATTGAACGTACTTGGCTGGTCTTGTAGCTAAGTGACGGGGCTTGTCTCGGAGCTTGAGCCGAATGCAGTTCGCCACTATTGTTCATGTATAGAGCGGCGATTTTACATTGCTGCGGAGAGCAAATTAGCAGCAAGATTACTTATATTTGTTTTGCAACGTTTTGCAAGATTACTTATATAGTGCGTTTCTACCCAATCGCAAGGGATTCTTAAACGAAAAAATATATATTTCTATAACCCGAGCAGGTGAGTGATTGGCTACGTACAGATACCAACATGGAGGTGATTGGTCGTTGTGTTTTTGCAGTGGTAGTTTGAAAACAAGCGAACGGCTTGCGAATTTGGTGTCCACGCTTCCCCCCCCCCCCCACTTGCTCTGTTATCTTAATCTTTTTTATTAATTTGTGCAGAGTGGTACGCGTGTGTTAAGACTGTGTGTTGCAATGGAGAATTTGACCTATACTAGAGTACTGTACTACATAAACACTGAGACTTTGGTAGTAAATAAAAGTCGTGTTTATTTATTCTCGTTTTATTATTGAGACGGCCCAAGTGCCTGTGGGGACGTAGACACGTCAATAGCTAAGTACTACAGTTCGTGTGCCATCAGGTGGGTCAGACCAGGTGGAGGCAACTCAGGTGTGCAGACCAGGTGGGAGGGAGCTCAGGTGTGCAGACCAGGTGGGAGGGAGCTCAGGTGTGAAGACCAGGTGGGAGGGAGGTCAGGTATGCAGACCAGGTGGGAGGGAGGTCAGGTATGAAGACCAGGAGGGAGGGAGGTCAGGTGTGAAGACCAGGTGGGAGGGAGGTCAGGTATGCAGACCAGGTGGGAGGGAGGCCAGGTGTGAAGACCAGGTGGGAGGGAGGTCAGGTGTGTATTTTTATCTACATGTACATTTCTATACCGTGTCTTTCCACAGACTATTACTGGGGCGATGAGTTCGTTAAACCCACCTATACAGCTCGGCGATGAAAGCAATCATGACTGCTTTGACTACATACAAGATGTTGCTAGTCAACCCGACTTTGAGTATTGTGATGTAAGTATACTGTCCGCATGACAGCTGATCACATCTTTCATTATCAGTGGAAAGTGTATCGGTGTATCGGTGATCATTTTTTAGTATCATTGCAAGTTTTAAATGCTTACATCTTTCACCTTCTATCTATTTCAGTTGCGCACCAATCTTTTGTGTGTGCGTGTGACGGTGTGAGTAATTTTCACTAACCAAAAAATTAGACACTGCTTGCACTCCCTTGTCCACTCACTAAAATTTCTTAGTAATTGGTAGGATTTTTAATTTGTGGGATAGATGTGTAATTTTTGCTGTATCGTTGCAAGGTTTATATGCATTTGTCACCTCACGGGAGAAGATATAATCTACGTATGCACATCTGAAATGCTGTATTGCATTGTATGATTGATTACGTGGAGAAACTGAAAGCGAATTATTTCCTTACAAAATAATGTAAATAGTTTTCCTCGTCTGAGACACATTGCAGTTCAATCGCCGCAAAGTATCGGTATCACATATGAACTGAATAAGTCGACAATAACATAAACGTACATTTACTTTCTTTCTTTTTCCTGGCAAAAACCATTATGTTGTACAATAAAGTTCTCTCATATCATACTCTCACAAAATGCTTGTCATTCGACCCCTACTGTGCAATAGCATTTCTACGTATAGCTGCTGCATTTAAACGCTACCCAGTTACGTGTATGTATAAATAATAACGACTGCACACTGAGGTGATCAAGTTGGGTAGGATTCAATATGTGCAATGTTAAAACGTATGACTAAGATGTATAACAACACGCTGTGTACATACGTTTTAGATCTAACACGCACAATGAGAGGGTAGAAATAAAAACAATTCTTAATTACCAGGCACATGTCTCCCTCTGTATTTTACTTTTGGGAGTTACCAAATTTCTTCATTATACATGCTGAAATTACGTTAGTTTACAGTATGTCATAACCATCTAAACTTCTCTTATGCTGACAACTCAGTCATTCGGCACAGTAAACATAATCTACAGCACCATTACAAACAGTTTGTCCAAAACTTAATAACATAATATCTTTTTAAAAAGCAAAAAATAAATTAATATCATTAATACATAAGATAAAAAAATTACACGATCCTAAAAGTGATTTGTGCGAGAGAAAAACAGTTGTTTACGTTGATAGTTGTTTTGAAAAGATTGCCCCTGCTCAATTCATTCTTCTTTCTAGTCTGGTAAATCCCAGGTTGGGGCGTTTCCCGGTACCACGAAGGAACATGCAAATGCCCGTAGGTAGTTAATCCACGTGGCGAAACTTCAGAGCGTTGCTCAAACTCAATTTGGCACCTTTGGCATCTAGGCAGATGTTTTCGACAACGTCTGTTATTATGGGTTGCCGTATGAAATATATAGGCCTTGTCGTATCCGAGCATCTGACGGCACTCACGTGAGTCAAGTGCTTAGTAATGAACTTATGTGCACCGAAAGGAGAAAAATTGACCCACGCGATTATATATGCATACATGTAGACTTTGTGCAGTGCGGCTTCGGGCGAGTATCATTGCTACGGGCATTTCGGGGAAATTCAGTGGTTTCGAAAGTGACCGTCAAAAGTCGTCGTGGAACGATGTAAATTCTTTGTTGTTTGTCTACATGACGCCTATCTCTAGAACAGGGGGTTCTTAACCTTTTTTGAGTCATAGACCCCTTTGAGAATCTGGTGAAAGCTATGGACCCCGCCCAAGAAAAATGCACATAAGCACATATAAACACAATAATTTGTATGCGCCTGGTTCACGGACCTCCTGAAGCCCATCCACGGACCCCAAAGGGGTGCATGGACGACAGGTTAAGAACCCCTGCTCTAGAACTATAGCCCTTCGATCTGCCCCGTGCTACGTGACGCCTAACTGCTTATAAATGTTGTTTTATCCTCCTCGTCTTCCTTCCTTTTGTCGCTTCCCAGTGTGATAACCTCATATCAGGAGTAGATAATAGGGGAAGATTCCCTATTATCTATTTCTGCCTCATATGTTACCCCTACACCCCACCCTCAGCCAGTTCTATAGCGGCCATTATAAGTCGTTTACCGGTGGGGGACATGTAGCGATTGTGGTTGGATACGCTGGGAAACTACGCGTTTACACATAAACACTGCGTGATCCAACCCCTCCCTCTCCTCCTCCTACCCACTCCCCACCCCCATCCTCCTCCTCCTCCTCCCCCACCCCCCTCCTCCCCTCCCCATCCGCACTCTCCTTCGCTGTAAGTCGGTCACGAGACATGCGCAGCCTCGCATGTACATTACCATTCCATGAATCCTCATCACACGCACACGCACACGCACACGCACACACGCACACACCTGTGCAGCTACGTACTGTGCACAGGTGCGTGGGAGTGCAGCTAAGTAGGTGCGAGGTGTTTGGCTGTGTGAGTGTGTGTGGGCGAATGGTGGTCGGGTGGGGGTGGGGGTTAGCAATACCAGCGCTAGCGCGTGCTTATTTATAGAACTGCAAATAGCGCAGCGCTACCTGCAATGCAAAGTAATTACCTGCTCCCATGCTACGTAGACTAGACTTTTACCTTGATAACAGAGTGCTAATGATATGCAACTAGCTAGTAGATCGTCATTGATGTAAGTAGACTTTGGTTCTATTCTTAAACTAGAACACTCGGAGAGTGCAGACCTCTGCCAAGGAAGCTCAATTCTCGCACTGTGAAAATTTTTATTAATTAATTGGATCCGGATCACCATCAAACCCCTTAACGGAGGTAATTACGAGGATTAAGAATGCAATGACGTGTTAATAATGGTCTGTTTGATAATGGAGAGAAATTTTATTAATACAATACATATATGTTATATGCGGCGATTCTTATTTATGTAGAAATTGCTTGATAGCAACAAATGTCTGATACGCGCTATAGCAGCCTATACCTACCTGTACCTGCCTGCACCTGTACCTGCCTGTGCAAAGTTGGTCGATTGTGAATGATCAGCATGCATTTTGAAAATGTAAAGTGATTGCTCCCAGGTGATTCACTGCGATTTTTCCTACTGCAAAGCGATGTGTAATCGGATTAGGTTCATCGGATACACCCTTAGGATGTATAACCGGGTCATTGCTACATGTGCATATAATATACGGGTTTCTTCCCAAGAATTTCAGAAAACACTTCGTATAATATGGACGGATGGGGGAGGGGACCCGGAAAAGGGTTGTACCAATTGGAGTCAATTACGCATGTCATAAGCGCCCCCAATACACAGGTAGACTCGGTCAGTTCGCGGATTTATACATCAAGCATGACTGTGTGGGGATTGTCAAAAGTAAATAGCCATGTCGGAGGCTTTATGAGATGTCGCAAATTAGCTTCAACTTTCGCACCCGACATGCGTTAAAAGCCAGTGGAGAGATTTTCTGTAATGTAGTGTGATACGTTGTTTCACGATCTCGTGTTTCCGCCAACATTCTGAAGTAAAACTATATTAGCTAATTACTGTTTGTTACCTCGCACCTGAGGCTTGTTGCACTATGCTTATTTTTCAAATACATGTACGTATTATATCAAGAGCTATTAATACCTTTTATTAGGATTATGCATTATTATTAGGTAGGATTAGGATTATGTATTATTATTAGGTAGGATTAGGTGTAGGTATTATTAGCTCTTGATTATATCTATATATAGATACCATACGTGCTGCGCACACAAATTGTACAATTGTAATGTATATTGACGAGAGAAATTCATATATCCAGATCAACAGTCCATAAATTAAGGAAAATTTCTATTTCTATTTTCAATTTTCTATTATGGACTCTTGATCCAGATACAACAGGAGGCCGTTAGTGATCATGACAAGGTCTTAAATTCACAGCATTAATATGTCAGTCAGCAGATATTGGGAGGAGATTAGTTCTAGACTATGAAAACACGTGCAAGCACGACTAGCACGTCATGCTATGTGACTCACCAGGTACCAATATTATTTTTTGTACTAGAAATGCAACGTAAATGATGCTGGAACTCAAGGCTGGCAGGATAATTTATTACGATGGCAAATTTGCACACTTGTTACCCCCCACAAGCTGTGTAGCATGAATCTGTTTCAAGTCATTGCCTTTTAACGTTACGATGAAGCATATTTTCAGTTATTATTCAGAAACAATACTCGATCGCTGCGAGCGGTTTTGGAGTCAGTTGTACAATCTGAGGTATACAACGCAAACGTGGGCGTGGGCGGATGCAAGGCGGAAAGGGAAGCAATGATTAACCTCGTTATGCGTGTTATATTTCTGTAATTATAATTTATATTTCATATAATTACTCGAAGGGCAAATGACAAGGAACCAACATTAATTCAGCACTATTTTCATATTTTTATCGCTCAGATGTCCACCTGCTTATAAAATTAGTCTGTCATTTCCTCGATTGAACATTCTACCAGGTACTGCTGCTGAATTTCTTGCTCAGGCATATTTGTGCGGTTATAACACAGCTCCAGTGGTCAGTCTAAGCAGTTTCTATATACGCAGAATAGTCAGTCAGATCATTATTTATTAATGTAAGTTTGTTGCAATGAGAACTTTGTGTACTTTTGTATGATTAATTTCTTTATCTTTAATTTTTTATGTTCACAAGTATGCTGTTCGTGACTTCGTGTGCTATTTATAGGTCTACTTTAGTACTAACCTATATATTCATTCACCTGCAGGCTTAGCTGTCTGCTTATATAGTGTCCTACGTAAGCATGCACGCTTCACTATATATGTTAGGGTTACCATACGTCTGGGTTTTTTTCCGGACGTGCGAGTTTTTAGCCGTTAACTTAAATCTACCTATAGTGTTTCTTGAACATCGGAAATTGTCCGAGAGTTTGCACTTTTCCTGCCTTTACATTTCCTGCTTTTGAAGTTCTTCATTCATGGATGTATGGATGGTGACCTTATTCTGTTCAGCCAGACCTATTACCCATATTTCTGCCTAGATACCATTGCTATATATATATATATATATATTTATATGTGCATCAGTGCACATTTTGGTGGTTAACTTGACATACATATTTACCGCTCACTTTGTATAGTGCCCACAAAATACATGCAATTCACGTATGTTATTAGTAATGCCATTTGCATTCTACTTGTTTTTAAAACCGCTTCACTTGTGCCGTGTCTACGCGGTAGTGATGTGATGCAGGAACAACCTGTTGGCTCGTAAATACCTCAGACAGAGAGTGTAACTAACTGTGTGTTCGTGTGGAGACTGGCAATCTACTTCTGCGTCGTTGCAGGAGTTCTGGGAGCACACAGCGCGGCTATGGATGGACACGGGAGTCCAGGCCGCCTTCGAGCGAGCAAACGAATACCAACTCATCGACTGTGCTAAATAGTAAGTGCCTCCGCCACCACGCCCTGTTCCCAACCAACCAGGCATCACCGTAGTGATCAATGGCTACGTCTATGTCTACCAAATGATCGTCTCAATCCTGCGATTGCACTGATGTTGATTTACATCAGGCCATAATACAAATATTGTTTGTTTGCCCTCACCCGACTGACCCTCCAAAAAGGGGCTGACTCAAAAAATGATATTGATCTTTCCCATTCTTTTTTTTTTATAAATTGTATCACTGTACAATATATAAATCTGTAGGCAATACATTATATGTACCAAGCAAAACAAACATTCAACATAAAACTAAAGGTATCTCCACACAAGCACAGCCCAGCATGTAGACACCATGCTGTATTTGTAAAAAGACCCCCCTCAAAAAAAGAAAAAAACCTACCTACCTACCCAAACTTTTCAGCCTGGGTCGAGTGAGGGAAAACAGATTTTTTAATTGTGGCCTCATGTTGTCATGGCGACTCCCCACACCACCCACCCACCCGAGGACGTTCTTGTTTTTTCGTTTGGCCTTGCCGCAACTCTCTTCACGGACACTGCCTTGAGTTGACCTGACCACACAGATTTTAGATACTGCAGTTTCCATCAAGCTCCCAACCTGACTATAATAAGTGGCGAGCTGTGTTTGCGCCAAGTCAGTTTTACGTTCAGTCCTTCAGAGTTGTGTCACATCCTATTCAGGTGTCCCGGTGATTGGATCTATGCTGCTGCTGTCTGCTGCAAATATAACAGCACTAGTGGGTAGTAGACTAAGCTCCCTAGCGAGCTGTCACGGCAGGCAAATGTACATGAATTATATGTATGCTTGATGCGCGTAATATGTAGTCACGGTGGCCTGTAATTATATATACTGCTGTTAACTATCTAGATTATGAAAGCCTTTCACAAATGCTGGTTTCCTCAGAGGTTCAGAACCAATGGGTGTATATTATACACCATGGGTGAATATTGACAAAAGTGAAACACAGTGAAAAAATGAATAATGACAATTGGTCATTTATTCATCCCTGATATACACTAAAGTATGTTTTTTTTGTAGATATTTGTTGTAGGATTTGCAACAAATGTTATCACGTACTAGTGGTGCCTGAAGCATATAAATTGTGTCTGAGACATTGGTACTGTTATTCTAGGCTTATTCTTGCTGTCTAAGGCATGCTAGATTTGCTCTGAGGCTTTTATTCCTGGATACCCATGCTATCTGATGCGTGCTGAGGTTATATGAGACACAGCCATACTGTCTATCTAGGGGTGCCTTCAATAGCTTAAGTACTACGTCTTCACCAGGTTCCGTTAGTCGGCCCATCTCACGTTGCTGCAGGTCCAGTTAACAGCGTAGCCACACTCAGGTGTGGGGCAGACCAGGTGTGTTGATGGGAGCTCCATGGCTGTGAAGACTTCAGGTTGACGGAGGTCAGGTATGGCAGACGTCAAGGTGGGAGGGCAGGTCCAGGTTATGAATACGCTTATGGTGCCGGAGAGAGGCCTCAGCTGCTATCCCGAAGAGTCTCAGGAGGCACGGAGGTCAGGTAATGCAGACCAGTGTAGGGAGGGAGGTCAGGTATGCAGACAGTTCGTGGAGGCGAGGTCAGTGTGTGCAGACCAACGTGGCGGGGAGTCCAGGTGTGAAGTACCAGAGTGGGAGGGAGGCCTCAGGTTACCAGGTGATCAGGAGCACCAGGTGGCGAGGGAGGCCAGGTGTGCCAGACCAGGTGGGAGGGAGGTCAGGTATGCGCAGACCATTGCGTGGAGGAGGAGCGTGGGAGGGTTGGTGGCTGCCGGATCAGGCGTGCAGGCGGCATAGGTGAATGGGGAACACGGAAAACCCGATAGCTCGTCACCGTAGGAGCCAGTGACTGTCACGGGCACGTTCTCCCGTGTTGTGCCGAACACGGCAAGTGCCAAGCTCTCCATTCTCTCTCTCGTCACTCTCTCTTCTCTCTCTCTCGTCTCTCTCTCTCTCTCTCTTTCTCTTTCTCTCCACCGCTCTCTCTCTCTCTTGTCTTTTCCTCTCAAATCTCCCTTCTTCTTTGCCGGCCCATCTCTCTCTCTCTCTCTCTTCTCTCGTCGTCTCTCTCTAGATGGTCTCTCTTCTCTCCCTCTCTCACTCTCTCACTCTCTTCTCCTATCTCTTTTCTGTCTCTGTCACTATCCTCTCTTTCTATCTCTCTCGCCTCCTCTTGCTTGCTCTCATCTCTCTCTCTCTGCTCTCTCTCTCCCTCTCTCTCTCATCTCTTTCTGCTTCACTCTATGCTTGCCCCTTCTCTCCGGCTCGTTGTTCTACCTCCGCTCTCCCTCTCCCCTCCTCTCTTCCTCATCTATTTGTCAATTTTTCCTGCTTTTCCTTACTATCTCTCTCCCTCCCCTCCCTCCCTCCGTCCCTCCCTGCCCCTTCCTCCCTCTCTCCCTCTCTCCGCTTTCTCCCTCCCTCCCTCCTCCTCCCTCTCCCTCTCCCCTCCTTCTCTGCTCCTCGCCTCCCCTCCTCCCTCCTCCCTCCCCCCCTCTAACCTCCTCCCTCCCTTCGTCGTCTCTCCTCGCCCTCCTCGCCCCTCTCTCTCCTTCTTTCTTCTCTCCCCATCCCTCCCTCCTCCCCCCGTTCCTCCCCTGTGGCCTCCCGTCTCCCTCCTCCTCCGACTCCCTCCTCCCTCCCTTCGTCCGTCCCTCTCCAATCCTCCTCCTTCCTCTCTCTCTCCTTCGCTCCCTCTCCTTTCTCCCTCCCTCCCCCGTTCCTCCCACCCCCCTCCCTCCCCTCCTCCCTCCCCTCCCATCCCCCCTTCGTCCTTCCTTCCCTTCCTCCCTCCCTCCTCGTTCCTCCCTTCGTCCCTCCCTCCCTCCCTCCTCCCTCCCTCCTCCCTCCTCCCTCTCCCCGTTCCCCTCCCTTCCTCCTCCTTCCGTTTCCCTCCTCCGCCCTCCTCCCTTCGTTCCTCCCTTCCTCTATTCGTCCTCCCTTCCTCCCTCCTCCTCCTTCCTCCGTTCCTCCCCTCCTTCCTCCTCCTCTTCCCTTCCTCCTTCTCTTCCTCCTCCCTCGTCCTCCCTGCTTGCTTCCTCCTTCCCTCCTCCTCCTCTCTCCTTCCCTCCCTCCTCCCTGCTTGCTTCCTCCCTCCCTCCTCCCCTCCCCCTCTCTCTCTCTCTCCCTCCCTCCCTGCTGCTTCCGTCCCTCCCTCCCTCCCTTCCTCCCTCCCCCCTCTCTCCCCTCCTCCCGTGCTTGCTTCCTCCTTCCG